CTTAAACTACCGGCATTGGTTAGTTTCGAGGCTCAACTGTTTAATTTGTCGTTCTTCTACAATTCATCTTTAATTCCTTTTTTTAAAGCTGTTGTAAACCGTTTATTTTAGCACCTCTTGATCAACTTCAGCACAAATAACCGATCGTGTTCCGCATTGTTAGAGGAGGCGGAGCTAGAGAAAATTAACATACCCGCAGAAGTTTTAAAAAGGGGCCCCCCGGAGCCCATGGAAGACAAAGCTAGCGGAAAAGCCGAGGCAATGGACGAAATTTCCAGAAAATCACGGTTTAATATAACTTCCACTCTATGCAATCTCCCAAAATTTTCCATAAGGTTTCCCTAACAATCAAGTTAAAATCACCGTATGGTAAAACAGCAAAAGAGTTTCTTCACAGAATTATGTCCATAAGTAGGCAAAGGGCTGTTTCCCATACTAGCAATATGTAAAAAAAGTGAGTTTTTATACCCGTTTTGATATGTCTTCTGGACGTCCTAAAGCAACAGCAAAGAAGGTACAGGAAGCCTCTATGATGTCTCTTCTTCGAAATCCATATGGTACAAGTGGTTTATTCAAAGCGATTTTAGTGAAAACAAGAAAAAAATGTACCCCTCGTGATTTTCGGGCCATTTTCTCTATTGTGTGGCGCGCGTTCCGCCAATCCAGTTTCAAATTTATCGCTGGTGAGTCCTTCAAAGTTGCGGATATGTCGCGGCATTCTGCGCAATGACCAGAAGTGATTAACGTGTAACTGATCTCCCTATAATATCGATACATTAACCAGCATAGAGGTATTGAGAATACTCAAATTTATCAGGTAGAAGTTAATTTAGTGTTAACTGAGTTGAAAAAGTAAATTATCCACCTTAAAGAGTAAAAAAGTTGACGTTTCAAGCGTTAACCCTTCGATAATCGCTCTGGCGAAGGGCTAACGCTCGAAACGTCAGCTTTTTTGCCCTTTACGGTGGCTAATTTACGTTTTACAACTCAGTTGTTAACACTAAATTACCTGTTATACTCTCCCACCGACGCAGCACCACAGTTTCTTTATAAACTTACCCCTTTATCAGGTAGAAGTTGTTATCTTCATTTAACACCAAATTCTCGTAACTCATTCCCAAGGTAATGTGTAGCAGCAAGAGGGGAGAATAAACAATCAGATCTTGTGAGTTAAAGGGTTTAAAGACTGATAGGTTAAGCCAGGAAAGAAAATAGACCGACGTGAATTAACTGAAATAACTTTCATTGAGGCTACATGGTAGCATACCCCCATGCAAGAGTTCGAAGTTTTTAATCATACAATTTTATTGCCCCTCCGTGTCGTTTCTTTCGTACCACAGGAATAAATAGTTCAGGATAGCGTGGTTCAAGAAAGCTGGTTTCTCGTAACATTTGTTGTTGATAATAAAATATTCGCGCTTACCTTTTATCTTCCATTTTTCATCTTTTTCAAGGCATCACTGCTCACAAAACAGATGGTGAAGTGAACCTGTCTAAGTTCTTAGAAAGCGTAATACCTTGGAAAGAAGTTGACGACGTTCGCCTCTTCGACATTGAAGGAATCGAGTTTGCCTATTGTAAAAGCAAAGTTTGCGCAAGAAACAAGAGCGGTCCGCTTTCTGTTCTCTGGAACAGAACGACAGTCCAAAGTGGGTCACTGTTCCTGACTGGAATTGAGGAAAGTGATAGCGGTCTTAGGATGAAGGCGAAGACAGTCTCGGCTACGTCAACGCGTCTTTACACCATAAAGGTCCTCGTGAACAGTTCTCAAGGTAATCGATTCACTTTATTGAATGTTAAGATGCGTATTATTGACAAGCACTATTACACTATTAGCCTCATGTTACTGCTATAAGGATCATTATCAAATAGGCACGCCATCAAGACTGGGTTCTTCCACTCTTGGTTTTACCCCTTTAATTTATTTTCTTGCAGGCCGAAATAGTCTTACACCCACTGCCTTGCCCATCACAGGAACAGCCAATTCCAGCCCGGGTTCCTCCTCTTCCGGACCTACGGGATCTCCAACCAAGAGCACTGTAGGATCTCCATCCAAGAGCGCCGCAGCATCTACAACTCAATGCATTGTTCGTGCAATAGTTACCATTTTTCTTGCAGTTTTGGTTCCTGTAATTTTTATTTGGTGGCGTCTTAGATGGAATGGACCGTGAAGCCTTAAAAAGAACCTGGCGCATAGGTCCACAGTTAAGCCCTCGAGCGAGAAATGTATGCCAGATGAAGAGGTTCGTTGTGTATTGCCCCTATCATCTCTTTCCCTTCCTACAGCTACCTAAGGTCTCAATCAACATTTTAGGTGGGATGGGAGGGAGAGAAGAGGACGGGACCACATAGCCCTTGTTGGAGGACTGGTTCCTTATTTAGCATCTGACTTCATTGGGAGCCCTGAGCAATCAGGACGGCGACGCTCAGCAGTCGTCGGTTAAAATATCAAGTTACATTTCTCTAAAGATTTTATTGAACGGCTTCATGTTTTCCGTCACCAGATCTCCTCTTTAACTTAACACTCAAAGGCAATGTTGAGTTTCAAATGGAAACATGAACAATTTGATGTTGTTGCTTCCACACTCACACTTCTCCAAATTTAATGGTTTTGCTTTGTTTGTCTAGCGTAAGACGTTTTGCAAACGAACAATGTTTTGCCCCGCACGTTTCGAAGTAACGGAAGTGTGCAAAGCAGTTGGGTAAACATACATGAGTGTTAGACAAGCTGTAATCAATAGTGTTTTACAATGGAGATATTGACTTTCTTCTAAAATGTTCTAAGAATGATCATTGCTTTCTCAAAGAAGTTACTGTAACATTAGTACAAGTCAAAATTTTGTGAAGTTATCCGGAATAGTTATTTAAACTGTTGTATATAAATTGTTTTCAAAAGATCAATGAACCATTTGTGGACCACTGCTGGTGTTTTGTGTAAATAATTATGTGAATGTATGTATATGTTGTAAGTTTGTGTGTCTGGAAAGGTGTGTTCTGAAAATACAACTAAAGGTGTGCTTTGTTACACATCTAGAAGTGTGACAAAACATATCTTTCTGCAGAACACTTCTTAAGGTGTGTCAAATTTAGGACAAGCGTGAAACACAACCTAAGGTGTGTTGTGGGAACACGTGGGGGTGTGTTCAAGGTGTGTGCGGGTAACACATGAAAAGGTATGTATTTATACACACCTTTATGTGTGTTGTTTTGAGGACAAAATATAATATATCAGGAATATCAAGAAATCAAAAACGCTGCCTGAGGATATATCGGAAAATGTAGCTGATTACCTCTGGATGTTTTACCTTTTGGGAAAATGAAAACGCCGGATATTGGAAATAGTAGGAAATCAAAATCACTGCCTAGGCATATATCGAAAAATGTAGCTGATTACCTCTGGTTATTTTACCTTAGAGCGGTCCACTCGACTTCCCGTCGAAAAAAGTGTTTTCTTTAATTTTTTGTCCAGGAAAAGGTGTTGGGCCACATGTTTCAAAACTAGTTAAGTTATTCTCCAGCGATCGAAACTGAAAATTTCACAGATTTTGTCCAGTGCGCAGCGACTGCAATGATGTAGCTCATGTAATTCTATCTGTTACAAGTTACAAGATGTATTCAGTAATTCACAAACAAAATATGGAAACTTCACCTGAAATATTTTTCATACCAGCGTGATCAGAGGAGAGCGATAGCTTGTCAGCAACCTAGGGAATACATTGAGAACAGTATAGAGATTATATCCGCTGATATTAGGGTGTAAAGGGTAAATTGAAACTTTGAAATTGCATTATCTATCACCCTTGTACCTGGGACTGTGGCAAATAAAAGAGGTCAATTTTCTTTTGTATCCTTTTCGCGTTGGAACGTCTTCTTTAAA